GCCATTGTTTTAAATGATAGAGCATAGTTGAAGAATGGCAGAGGGAGGTGCCAGGATTAGATCCATGATGGAACTGGGGCATTGAACTGTAATACTATGGTAAATGGGCTCTCAATTCTGAGGGGAAGTTTTCCAGAGATGTTGCATTGTAGAGAAACTCTTACATGGACTCATTTCCCACATTCTAGAGGCAGAGGGATGGGATGACTCCATGAGCATGAACGTTCCCTGCAAGCAGGGTTGACCTTGATGAGAGCTGCCATGCAATGGAGAAAGTTCCATAAGGGAATGCTGGATGTAATGGCTCCACTTTTGGAACAGACTGATGTAGAGGAAGAGACTGGGCATGAGTTGACTCTTCCTGCGACGGTGAACCTAGACAGATGATGTCATCAGGATCTTTATGGGGTCTGAGTTGATCAGAGTCTAGAGAAGTTTGAGTCAGCTTAAGATGTTGCTTTGATTGTTTCGAGGGTTTCGACTTATTTTGGACTTTTTTCAGGTGCCAACAACTTATCATTGGATGGTTTCTTCCTTTTTAAAAAAAAAAGTGTTGAGATTGATTATATCCTTCATGGCAAGGCCACCAACTTCCAATTTGGGAGGATGACAAATAAGGATGGTGGAAAAAACAGGTAAAGATTTTTCTAAAAGAGAAAATAAGCTCTAGGAATGTTTCCCAGAAGCTTCCTCAATGGCGGATGGCTCTGGTATGCACAAGAATGTGTAATTTTTTTATGCTAATAGATCTCTTTTTAAGCTCTAGAATGTTCTGAGGAATTTTCCACAGGTGCAGAAGCAACTCTTATTTATTTATTATTTATTTTTAAAGAATATTTTTATCCTTTTTTCTTGAAAAGGACCCAAGGTGGCTTACAACATTGAAAGATAATACAGTATTTAAAGTTGAAACAGTGAGTATACAATGTTGATTCATGGAAACCACAAAGAAACTGAAACTTATTATCAGTTAAAAGCCTGTCTGAAGAGAAATTCTTAATATAGTGTCTGAATCAAAGTAGAAGTGCATGAGGAGAGTGCTTTTAAAGTGGGCAAAAGGGTTAACCTCCAACCATTAATTATATAAGTTCTAATGAGTGAAAGGGTGCATCCAGATAATAGTTCCAATGAAGATTTATTTTGTAACAGACATGTTCATAGTAATAATGCTGGGTCTGCTGGTGAGAGGGTTGGCATGGCAAGTTTGTCATATTGCTCCTAACTGGCTCTTCTGATTAAAAGAGGCATAATCATTGTCCTGGTGTGCTGTAATGGACAAAGTGATAGACTAAGACTCAGGAGACTTGGGTTCAAATCCTGTTTGACCATGAAACCCATTGGGGGATGGCTTTGGTAAAACCACTTTTGAAATATTTCCCGTATCTTGAAAACACTATTAGTCATCATCATACACAATTACTGTTAAGTCCTGAAAATGCTGGAGGAAAATATGAACATTAGATACCATACCCTCAATTCCTTTGCAAGATCTACGTATACATTCCATACACCAGATAATTATACTCTTCATCATTTCTGTGCAGTCTCACATCTGCATTCCAGGTAGCACTTGTTAGCATGACTTTGTGAAATATAAATGGGTCTTTAGGTCAGTATTTCTTTTGTTGTTTGCAATGACCCACAAAAAAACCAATACATTGGAAACAAATCACCACTTTCATGACTTCCTGTTGGCTTGCAAACCACTTGGAAAATAGAGTGTCAACTTGTTTAATCAATGAATAAACCTGTTATCTTCCTACTCTATGTATGCTTTATTGCACAGGAAGATAGGGAGCATCACAAATGTCCCCTGTCTTCTGACATTGTGTTACAAGTGGCTGGAAGGATGGGAAATGTCACCTGGTTGAAGTGGCAATTGGATGATGATGATTCTTAGCCTGTTGCCATGATGATGTATGTGTGTTCTCTCTTTCCTCTCTCTCCCAATTTAAAATAGGTGAACTTTCACCATATTCATAGGGGTTTCCTCTCAAATTAGTTAAAATTTGGAGAAGGAGATATATCAGACTGTGCAAAAAGGACTACAAAGCTATGGTTGATGTTTTAGCTCGGACACAGTTTGTGCTTGGGAACAGTCTTACATAGGCATGAGCTGGCTAAATCTCTGTATCTAACTGAATTCAATAAATATCTGTAATCACCAAATGTTTATTAATATTAATAATCAAAACTTTCTCTCCATCTTAGAATAAAAGAAACAGAATTGCACAGAGGAGTGGGCACCCAGGATTTCTGCATGAAAAACATTTTTACACGGAGTTCTATATGGAGGGTGGTTTTTTTTGAGACAAAGAGTTCTGTTCTGGTACTAAAAACAAGCAAACTCCTAGACTGAGTATCAGAACAGAACTCCTTGTCTCAAATTTGATAAGTATTTTTTACCATTTTTTAAATACCAAGAATGAGCTGGCTAGATAGCTCATTTCATGGTTCTAGAGTGTTCTCAGAAGAAGCAAATGGTAAACTAGTTCTGAGTATACCAAAGAAGTTCTGGAAAGCATTGCCATAGGTTGGAATTGATAGTGGCAAACAATTATGACTATTGGTTGTTGTGGATTTTTCGGGCTCTTTGGCTGTGTTCTGAAGGTTGTTCTTCCTAACGTTTCACCAGTCTCTGTGGCTGGCATCTTCAGAGGACAGCAATCTGTGGTCTGGTGTAGTTGGCTTGGGAGTGCAGTATTTATGGCTGTGAGATAGGCTTTTGTCTTTTTCTGTAGATGGGTGATTCGTGTGTCTTGTTGTGGGTGTCTTGTTGTGCTAAGGAGAAGAGATTATCTGTCACTGTGGTTGATGGGTGTCGTTAGCTGCTCTTTCGTGTGTAGTGATCCCCTGTCCTTATGGCTGGGAAGAGTTCGTTGACCTTTTGCACGCTGTATTTTTGAGAGCTGGGGGCCAAGTTTTGTTGAGCTTTATACTTTCCTTTTTTTTAAAGTTCTGCTGGTGCTTGTGACGATTATTATTAATACTAGGAGTAAGCAACCTTATTTCGCTACCATGCAAATGGTTGGTTCTATGTGAGGTGCTTTAGAGATCTAGTAAAAGACACGCCCATAATGCCCTACAACTCTGATATCTACCCACCCCTTGTTTTGAAGCTCTATTAGGAAATTAGTGTTCAACAGAGAGAAATCATGATTAAGTTTTTATAAACCGCATTCCAAGACTCAAAGTGGTTGAAGTAAGAATTCTATGGAAAAGAGGAAAATTGCATTCATCAGGTCCTCCACTTTGGATCACTTTTAGAGAAATGTCATACTCAGGTATGAAGGTGAGGAAGAACACCTCACATTTCAAAATACAACATGAATTAGACATCTCTTAAGCCTAGCTTATGAGCACCACTGAGATTCCAAACAACATGGGAGTGAAACTGCTTGAGAAAGTATTCATTTTACATAGATGCTAAGCCAGTGATTTTAACAATGGCCCTCATTTTTAGATAATTTCTATAAGATAGGCAAAATTATCACAATATTTATTTATTTATTTATTTGCTTATTTATTGTATTTTTATGCTGCCTTTTTCATAGTGAAAGGACTCCCATGGACCTCCCATCACACAAAATGCTTCTGATCCAATTCTGATTCAATGCTGCTTGGCAATCTTGTCAGTAACCCTACTTCTGAACCATGCTGCCTCTGATCTTATCAGCCACATGACAAATCCCAGGGAGCTGATAAACAGTCCTCTACCATCATTCTCTGGGTCCTCTTGCAGAGGAAAGATGAAAACCATTGCCGTACTGGTCTGACAAGAGGAAAGATTAAAACCATAGCAATACAGGTCTCTCTCCAATCTTCTCAACAAAATATCATGATCTACTGTATCAAAGGCTGCTGAAAGATTTAACAGTATCAGCAAGGATGACTCTCTCCCTGCCCAGATAGCAAAGGAGATCATTCACCCGGTTGTGTCAGTATCATAGCCAGGTCAGACGCGAGACTGGAAAGACTGGAAAGGGTGAAGGGTGGATGCATCTTCCAGGAGGTTTTGCTCTGCTACCACCTTTTAAGCAAAAAGGGAAAATTGGAAACCTTCTGATAACTAAACACTTGTCTCCTCTCTTTTAAGTTTCTTTAATGTAGGTCCTATAATTGACATTTTCAAGGCCTTATTTGACCTGGAAGCAGCACCTACTGTGGCCTGAGATAGGCATATATGCATGGATCAGGCTACAGTGGCAGAGTTAGGCATATATACTCCTGCTTGGATCACTAGCCACTAATTAACTCCTGTGTTTATTTCTTTTATTTCTGCACCCATACACATATATTCTTGCTAACTGGGGATAACATTTCATGGCCAGAATCCCTTTCATTACACCTACCAGTGTAATTCTTAACAGCATAAATTTCAGTGGTTTTTAATAATCACATACCAGTCACATGAGACATAGGGACACCTCCCTATATAGACCTGCTTAAGTTGTCCATGAAAATTTTGTGTTATTTTTAATGTTGAGGTAAAAAGCAATGCTGATTTTCATTGTGAGTGTTCTGTTTTGCAGTTTCCTGCTTTGGTTTGTCTGTCTGTCTGTCTGTCTGTCTGTCTGTCTGTCTGTCTGTCTGTCTGTCTGTCTATTTATTTATTTATTTATTTATTTATTTATTTGACCCCGCCTATCTGGCCCACCGGGCCACTCTAGATTTTTAAGATTTGGACATACTAAGCAATTTTAGCATAAAATTATAAGCTTTTGTTTTTTCTGCATCTAACTAAATTCTGAAAACATTCTAAATACAGGGCTATCAAAAATCAGCCCATTATCAGATTCTTTATGACCACCATAAACAAACAAAAAGATAATGATAATATCTCACAGTCATACAGCATGAAGGAAAATGGAGGATGACTATTTGTGGAAAAATATACTAGAAATACATTTTGCCTAGAAACTGCTCACAAGATTCTTGGATAAGGCAGACCATATCTGCCCCTTAATAAACTGTATTAAACATTTTTTTAAAGAAAATACCTTGTGATTTTAAAGATCCTCAGCAGTCTCACACATCTCAGCACTGAGATACCCAGTGGTGACATAATCTTCGTTTCCACTAAAATGGTCTCCAGGATTCCACCACATACAATGAAACAATCAAAGCGATTGAAGAGAGATACAAAATAGGCTTGAAGACCCAAGCTGTACATCTTCAGCAGCATTTCAGCCGTGAAAAGAGCCAGCAGTACCTTATTAGCAGTATCTCATGGAGATAAACAGAAAAACAATGATTATTATTGTGGTAATGCTACAGTAATGTGACAAAAACAACTTGAATAATTTTAATGACTAAACAAATATTACAATAAAGTTTTCCTCTGGAATAACCACCTTCATATCTTTGTGCTGTGAAAAGCAAAATTTTAAATCAGCAGTAATACAATAGAGTCAGTGTCTTGTAGTTCTTTCAGTATTGAGACTAGGATTTGGATGATTCTGGCTCAAGTCCTTTCCTGGTTACGAAATTCACCGGATGACCTTGGGTTAGCCACTCTTTTTAAGCCTGACTTAATTGAAAGATTTTCTATGAACAGAAATTGGGAAGAAGGGAAGCTAGGTTTACAGCAGTATGCCCTAAGCTCATAAAGGAAAGGCAGGATATATGTAATATATAAATAAATAACACTCGCCCTCCATATAAAGAGCTATAATAACTTGCACAAGTTTGAATTCACTCCTAAATTCCTAGACAGTGAGTTAGGTGAAATGGACTGTTACTTTTTCCTAGAATGGTGGTTCTCAACCTAGGGTAACACAAGTGTTCTTGGACTGCATCTCTCAGAAATTTTGGCCAGTACAGCTGGTACTGAAAGGCTTCTGAGAACTGCAGTCCAAGAGCACCTAGATTACCCAAGGTTGGGAACCTTGTTCTAGAAAATATTTTTTCAAACTCTGTTCTCAAAAACCTGCTAGTTCCTTTAAAGCTAATCAGGACTTCTTGAAAGAGAAGATCCTAAATAATAGTCAAGTTTCTCTCAAAGACAGATTGCTCGTTAAATTGCTCATGCAAACACACATAATTAACTTCTTTTTCCTCTTATACTTTTAACCAAGTCACTCCTAGTCCAAAGATATCAACTGATTTGCATAAGCAAAAGATCACATGCTACTTTCAAACCAGCATGTGACCCTTCCTTCTCAAAATTAAAAGTCACACAGAAGTCTCTGTGTTATGTCAGAGATTCCTGTGCCATTTTCTGATTTCCCAACAGGGAGATGCTCACAAGATAAACAAGAGAGGTATGAGATTATCCAAAATCCATTTCTTATCTTGCAGGGCCCCTCTCTTTGAACATCTTGAGTTGTGGTGAGAGAGTAATCTTTTCTTGGCAAAGATGAATGCACAAACCAATGAAATTATGGTTGGGTACAATATGGTTTCCCTGGACTAAATTGCAGGTCATTTCTGTTCTAGATTATGAAAAGTTCCAAAGTGCACAATGATGCCTATTTTGAAATATTGGTTTGGCTATTCCAGAGAATACACATGCAAGACAACTTTACATAATTGTGGAAACTGAGCCTTCTGATATTATACAGAGCATATGGATATGGATTGGTTTTAATCATATGCATTTGGAACATGAAATTGAAAATACTAGGCCATAGTCTCCCATCCCCATGCTAGGTAAGCACTAAATAGCTCCCGAACAATAAATCTGAACACAGTGGATGCTTTGAGAGAGTGTAATGTCCTTTCATTAATTACAGATTTAAATGTACAAATAATTGTACACTAAGTGCAAAATATATTAATGCAGTTGTATATCTTTCATACAAAAATGTGAATGTTATATTTAATACAGTAATGAATTCTTCCTAATACTGTATGTATGTAATCATATAGTTTAATGTACATATACTCAGTTTACTGGGGCCTCGAGTTACAAACATCCCTACTTACGAACATTTTGAGTTACGAAAAGCTCCAGCCACAAAATTTCCTGGAGCTTCCACTTACAAAAACAAAAAGGCACACTTGCGGCTGGAGCTTCCACTTACAAAAACAAAACGGCATGGGGAAAGGGCGGAAAATTCAAACCATTGGTGGTGAAGAGGCTGCTTCTTTATCCCAACGGTTAGGAAAAGGGAAGCTCAGCCTCCCAGGCTTCCAACACCGGCCTGACTGCCACACAGGGTGCCGGTGCTTTGGAAGCCCAGAAAGCTAGCACCCAGTGCAGCGGTCGGGGCGGCTTCCCGGGCTTCCAAAGCTGCCCCAACCACTACACCGGATGCCAGCTTCCTGGGCTTCCAAAGCACCGGCACCCAGTGTGGCAGTTGGGGCGGTGTTGGAAGCCAGCACCCAGTGCAGCGGTTGGAATAGCTTTGGAAGCCTGGGAAGCCGCCCCGACCGCTGCACTGGGTGCTAGCTTTCTGGGCTTCCAAAGCACCGGCACCCAGTGTGGCAGTTGGGGCGGTGTTGGAAGCCAGCACCCGGTGCAGCGGTTGGAATAGCTTTGGAAGCCTGGGAAGCTGGCACCTGGTGCAGTGGTCACGGCGGCTTTGGAAGTGCCAGCCTCCCAGGCTTCCAAAGCTGCTCCGACCGGTGCACCAGGTGCCCGCTTCCTGGGCTTCTAAAGCTGCTCCAACCACCGCACCGGGTGCCAGATTCCCAGGTTTCCAAAGTCACCCTGACCACCACATCAGGTGCCGATTCTTTGGAAGCCCAGGAGGCATCCGCAGCAAATGTTTGGATTTGTTTTGTTTTTTGCAGTCCCAGGGGCTTGCAGTGTTTTATTTTTATTTTTTTTGGTGATTTTTTTTCTTCGGCCGGAATGGATTAATTGGTTTTCAGTGCATTCCTATGGGAAATGGTGCTTCAACTTACAAAATTTTTGAGTTACGGCCACTGGCACCACTATATTTACATTAGTAAAGGTGATTTTAATTAATTTGAAAAATATGTATAGACTGAAAATAAATAAATTACAAAATAGACCCTCCTACTTCTTCTTACCTTGGACTTCTGTGAGCCAGTCAGGCTGGTTGTAATGTTCCGAAGCAATGGTGAGGGTGTTAAGAAACACAAGGAAGATTACAAGCCAATAGAACACATTGGATTTGACAGCAGCTCGACATTTCCGTCTGCAGAACCGATTCCATCTGCGCCAATAACGGCTTCAGAAAAGCAAAGAATGCAAAAAACAGTATTTGAAAAGGTAGAAATTAACTGTGGTTATGAATGCTGTATTAATAAAATTATTGTAATATGACATGGCTCTAAAGATTAATTCAAAGTTAGTGGAAATTGGACCAATTATTTATATTAATTTTGCCTGAAAATGGAAGGTGGAATGGGAAAGGGAAATGCTGTTGTTCAGTGCAAAAACGCAACAATTTGAGAAAGCCCCGACACTATTTATTCTTTTTCAAGGCTCTCTTGCACATGGATAGCTGCTGAATGTGGGTAGCAGATGCTTTTTACATAGCTTTCTCTATATCATACGACACTGACATGGCAGTGAAATGTTCACAGCTTTGCAGCGAGCCCCAGTACAATACTCTTTTCCTTCCTGAAAGCCTTTAATTTTCATTTAACTATATTAGTAACAAGATGGGCTTGGAAGCTGCAAAAGCTACACATACATAGTCTCAGATAACTAGAATTTAATTCTATTAATAGTATTATAGTCAATCCAATTCTTTATCATAAGTACCTAGATGTGTGTGTGTGTGTGTGTGTGTGTGTGTGTGTGTGTACGCACACACGCACGCACGCACGCAAGTGCACCCACTCACACTCTTTTCATTAGCAGTAGAATGGGACAAAGGTCCTGTTCAGAAACCACCAGCTGTTTGAAATTGAAAGAAGAGGCTATTTTTTCTTCTTTCTCCAAATAGCTACTGGATAACAAATGTTTTGCCATTGCCCAAAAAAGTCAAATGAAAAATTGGACCTTAATTGTCTCTGTGATATGAGTCTGTAACTGTTCTGAATTTCAGGGATAAGATCAATGTCTTAACAACAACAACAAAATGAAACGCCCTTGTCCAATATTATTTTCAGCAACAGCATCAGCAAGGTCAAGAATTTTCCCTTGAACCTATAACTCTACATACTATTTGATCTGATGGAATGTTCAGCACACTGTCACGTTACAATTTGTTTTCCTGGAACATACAGCCCCTCACAAGTGTCAAAGAGATTTTTGAGGGTAATTACTAACCACACAAGATATTTAAAGCTAATTACATATCTCCTATTCTTCAGAATTTAGCTTGCTTAGCAACCAGTTTCCAAGCAACATTTGCCTCCAAGATAATAAAGCTATCTTTGGGGATTCTTTTTAGTAAAATTCATGAGCAAAATGGGACAAAGATCCACTTTGGCCATTCCTTTATCTCTCAATCCCTGTACCATAGTCAGCACAACCTACGCTTCAGATCAAAAAGCAATAAAATAACACACCACATATTCTCTGAAACTTATACCATTTTATCAAAAAAATCAATATTCTCCTGGCATAAATTATGATTTTAAACTGCCAATACAGTAGTTTATACTGCCCCTATTTATTTATTTATTTATTTATTTATTTATTTATTTATTTATTTATTTATTTATTTATTTATTTATTTAGTTAGTTAGTTAGTTAGTTAGTTAGTTAGTTAGTTTATACCCCGCAGTTCGTTAGTTAGTTAGTTAGTTAGTTAGTTAGTTAGTTAGTTAGTTAGTTAGTTTACACCCCACCTATCTGGTCAAATGTGACCACTCTAGACACAGTCACTTCATTTATCTGGAGAAGTATGCTCAGACACCCAAGTGCTTCTGAAAAATAAAAACTAGTGCTACATGACTTCTGATTTCTGTTTTAATGTGTGTGAAGTTATTTAACTGTATTGTTACAAAATTTTAATATATAATTAATATACAGTTTGAACATAAGGCCATGCACTTTTGTTCTCTTTCTTGTCCCTCACCATGAAAAAGCATTAGAGATTTACTTTTTTGTGGGGGAGAAGCCTAAACTTTCAGGGAGGGGCCTGGATTATACCTAGCAGACAGGCCTCTCTGATTCTGACTTCACATTTTTTACAAGAAGCAGCTCAACAAGATGTTTCTGTATGCGCATGTACATGTGTTGCGATGTTACAAAGCTTACCTAAATTTAGATTTCGATATCCGATGCCTGAAAGAAAAAGTAACTTATTTTAATAAATTGTAATCATATTCTATAATTCTTCAACACAATCAAACCAAACAGACAGCTAGACAGGAGTGCAGGCAGGAAGGTGGACAGACAAATAGATATAGATTCTATACCGATACTTATTTCTCTTGTAAATGCTACGTATCAGTCATTGCTGCTGATAAATGATGATAAACCCTTTCCCTCTTCATACTTCTACATTAACTGGTTTGTAGACTTTATCAAGGCAGCACTTGCTGTGAGCTGAGGAGCTCACTATAAACAGTTGGGGAAGGCACCCCCTGCACAGAATATGAGCTGCCTGTGGTTTATATACCACATGTTTGCTAGTGGGAAAGCTTTTTCCACTAGTTAGAACACCCATAGAAGGAATGCTTATGTGCGGTGGTCGAAATCAGTTGGATGTGATCGATGATATAACCAAGTGCTCTTTTCAAAATGCCTGTTCAATAAGCAATGAGAAAATTCTTTCTCGGCTGAACAGATTCCCTTAAAGGAGGGGTGGGTAATTTCAGCATGATCAACAGCCATTTTTCAAATTTTCCAGAAGCCCAAAGGCTGTACCCCCACAGGAGGTAATATGACCTGAAGGATTGATACAATGCATTTTATTAACTTTGAAAATGGGTTAACTGAAAAAAAAAGGGGGGGTTAAATCGAAAAGGCTCCCTTGTGCTCTCTAATGGTCAAATATTAAAAATTAATGTTTTGGGGAGTATGGGTTCCCCTCAGTGGTGCTCAGAATGCACCTCTACGGTTTGTCATGTTTTCAGATAGGATGTGCTTCCTGCGGGCTTTATGCATCTTGGAGGCCATCTACTGCCCAGACCTGCTTTAAAGGCAGAAGTTGATTCCCATGATTATTCAACGAGACATTGGAGGTGGAAAACAAGCCAGCCACTGGTAGCTGCTAGTCTGCTTAGTATTTTCCTGCCTTCACAAATACCAGTCCTCCAGATGGTAGCTGTTGCACGTGACCAGCTGGCAGCAGAGCAGGACTAGCATGTGCTGGATTTCCAAATAGGTATCTTATATCCAACGATCATGTCAGCCAGAGCTAAGATGCTCACAGTTAGGGGGAATGCTGATAACAATTAACAGCTTTGAATTAGCTTTAGAAAGACCATAATGTAATAATTGGAACGTATATAGTGAAGAATCAACTGAAGCTTCATAACTGAGTCTCAAGTAAGTCACAAGGGAAACAAAAGGGCACCTCCTCCCATTCCATGTACAAAACTGGATTAAGTGGTTTTTGCACTTTTCTCCAACATCTGAAGACAGCAGGCTGACATGGGGCAAGAAGACCTTGCTGCCAATTCCACCACCTGCTACTCAGGGCACCACTTCATTCTGCCTAATAGAAGAACAGGCATGCTATCTTTAAGAGCACTGAAAAATGTTTTTTGTCCTTATTCTCATCTCAGTTGTTTCTATGTGAACAAGATACTTAAGGGAAGAAATGTGAGAATGTTTAATTGCCTTGTGCTCACACGTGAGAACCGAGGGATTATGTATCTTTTCCGAAAAGACAAGGTGTTTTGTTGCACTTGGGATGAAACCAAAACAAAAAGGATTTTTTTGCATAAATTAAGCAAAATTGTGCAAAACAACATGTAAACTTAACGCTTTAACAAAAATACGTAAGGTAAAGGATGCAAAATGATTATGGCTGCTGTTTTGTTGTTAAAACAAAGGACTGGAGAATATTTGTGTCTCTTTTGACAATCAGCTCTTCTGATCTTGCTGTGCTTTGTCTCTCAAAGTAAAAGAACACAGGTTTTATGTACACCTTGCAGAAATCATGGGAAACTTAATGAGGAAAGGTAGCACCTTTTTTCTTGCTCTCTCCTGGGGGCAAGGAATCTCCCAAGGGCTGAAAACTCCTTATATGAGAAAGCTTAGATGATGAAAATAAAGAATTTAGCAATGTTCTTTGCTAAATGAAGAGAATAACGCCAACTGACAGTTATGCTTTCACACTGTTTCCAGCCCAGTTCTAGTTTGTGCAACAATGAGTGGTCTCAGAGTCATATCCTGCAGCTGCATATCTGGCTGAGCACTATAATCCTGGTGCAGACAGTAATTAATTTATTTCTAACACTTCTATTTCTTGTCTTTTCTCTAGAACAATAAAAGTTTTTAGCAAGACTGAGCAATAAACTATCAAAACCACCCTCACAACATGGTTGTAAAATAAACATCCACATCATCTGCTTAAGTGTGAAAGTGTGTTCCCTCTTGCTAAATATCTGTTAAAATGGAGTGATTATTCATAGAAAAAGGCAGTTAAAACAAATATTCAGGTTAGAAATACAGTTGGATTTAACCTTTAACTGCACTGTAAGGATATCTGTAGAGAAGGTACAATTCCTGTAAACAGAAGTGTCTCCAGATAAATTTAAACTGCCAGCTGACAGTGCGAGAAATATATTTTAGTGTGGTTCAGTGTCTAATGATTCAGTTTATTCTTTCATACTATGAACAAAACTACTGAGATTACAAATGATACATCGATATCTCTGGAGAAGATGCCAAATGAATTTAGCTATGTACCTACTGTGCAAAAAAGAGAGTAAACTGTAAGGAAATGGAAGCTTCACTATGTTTTCTTGCATTGTTGCAGAGAGCAGATCAGTGGACTCTAAAAGGTACTTGAAAGTTATCAATACCTAGGGACACCTTTAAACTTTAAATTGGCCCTGGTTGGGAAAAATAAATTAAAATTGTTCATAATCTCATAGCTCTATAGGGTGTTATCTATCTGATTTTCTCCAAAGGGGCTGAATGGCATTTTGGAAGACATTTTATTTAATTAAGTGAACAGATGTGGTAGTTGTTCCACTCTTCATGCATGTGAATGCACTGGATCTCTGGGGCATTTAAAGCTGTAGATGAGCATCTCCAACACTCCAATAGGTTATCTGATAATATCTTCCCCCCTTGCTACTTCACATCTGTTTCCTCCCCATCATATTTTTTGTGATGCTACAGAATAAATTATGTACAAAGTACCTGGACACAGCTCAGATTTCTCAAAGCACCATTAATATATCCATGTTTTATTTTTATATTTTTGTTACTCAACACCTTAAGGGGTCTATCTTCCACCTCACACAAGCAATTCTATTGATCTCATTTAAAAGCACGTTTCACACAGCACATAACAGATTCACTGAATTCACTGAGGTAATGATGTGTTATGATTACTGGTTTAGATTACTTTAAAGGAAGATTAGAAAATCTAATAGAAAATATCCATAGATATTATTCATGGTATTTACACACACAATACAGGATCAGGCACAACATATTCCTCCATGTTTTTTTTTTTGCTGCAGGACTATTTTGCAAGATAAAGTGGAGTGACTCCAGGTAGGGATAAATGGAACAGGGTTGGGAACTGGTATGCCACCACATGTAAAAATTTCTTTCTCATTACTTGAACAATTTGATTTACTCAATCTAGGGTTGATCCTCCATGCTGTTAGATTGAGTATGGAGATATCAGGATGAAGAAGTAATCCTAGTTCTCTGAAAATGAGAGTTATCAGTATTTATGACAATGAAGAAGTCATCAAATACAGATTGCTTTGCTTTCTTTGCATTTGCGATGGGTCTTGCATGATCTGTTTGCTTTCTGCTTTGCTTTCTTTGCATTTGTGATGGGTCTTATACAATCTGCTTGTTTTTTGCTTTGCCTTCTTTGCATTTGTGATGGGTCTTGCATGATCTGCTTGCTTTTTGCTTTGCCTTCTTTGCATTTGCGATGGGTCTTGCACACTTCGCTTGCTTTTCTCTCCCCCCCTCGGCTGGAAGGGATTAATAGTGTTTCTGATGGGTCTTACAGTGATTTTTTGTATGTGATTTTTTCTTTGGCCAGAATAGATTAATTGCATTTCAGTGCATTCCTATGAGAAATGGTCCTTCGACTTACAACCATTTCGAGTTACGCCCATCTTCTGGAACAGATTATGGTCGTAAGTCGAGGCACCACTGTAGTTTAATTATTTTTTAATGCTTGACTTATGTTTTCAATCTATTCTTTTTAATATTGTGAGCTGCCTTGGTCCCCTTATCAGGAGAAATGTGGCTTATACAGTAATACCTTGGTTTACAAAATTAATGTGTTCTCCGGAACATTATGTAATGTGGAAAATTCGTAAACCAAAACACAGATTGCCATAGGAAGGGGGCGGCCCTACAAACCTACAGGCACAATGCATCCTGGGGGAACTGGAAAAAAACCTGAAAAAAACCCATAAACCGAAGCATTATTTTCAACGGATTTCCATTTGTAAACTAAAAATTATGTAAACCAAGGCATTCGTAAACCAAGGTACTACTGTAAAACAGACAAACAAACAAATCAGATATTGAGAATTCTCCAAAGACAGGTAAGGTGAAAGTGACTGAGGTTTCTTGCATGGCATTGATAGATGATCCACATGTCCGCTCCATAAAGCAGAAGGAATCGAATGACAGGTTTGTACAACTTCTGCTTAATGGAAAGATTGATTCCACACTGCTTCTACACAGAGCACTGAAGTCTTTTGAAGGCACTGCTAGCTTTAGAAATTCATGAAGTCAATTCTTCATTGATGAGAATACTGCAGGCGGCAGTGCTACCAAGCTACACCAATTTATCCACTACAGAAAGTGTGTGATTGTAAGTTTCCAAAATTGGTTCTTTATAAGATATAGCTGGGGCAGGTTGGTGCATCACCACCATCTTGCTACAGGTGGTGAAGAATAGATCAAGACTTCTTTGCATATCCTGAAATATGGTTGCATCAAGAGTTCAACCATTCGCAAATATGAACTCATATACCGTGGGGAATGAGACTTTAGTTATGGCCTGCACATTAAACAGATTGAACAGTTTTCCATCAGTATAATTTTGAAGACTGACATTAACATTTACTTCTGCAAACATCCCAAAGCATCCCAGAAAACATAAGGCTGAAAAAATTAGAACCAGAACAGCCTCTTTTTACACTATTTGTAATGGGAAGGGGATCAGAGAGGATACTGTTTTCAGCTGATGGCATTAATGTTATAAAGACTCCTAGCAACTTGCTGATAGAAGCCTAAAGAGTCTGCACCTGAGGCTGCTTTTTCAAATAGAAATGACTGAGACTAACGTTGTGATTTTGGCAACGTGACTTGAAAAATCCTGGCAAATTTTAAAGGCAGAGATGGTGCGACTTTTGCCAAAACAAAAATACACTCAATGTCTGTGTTTGAAAGGGTAGCTTTTCCCCTTACAGATGGAACAATATTTGAAAGAGGCCCCTGTGGCCGTAGGCCCTGAAGGAAAAGGCAAGAGAAGCATTAAAGCAGGATAAGCAAAAGCACCCTGCCTGGAGACTGAAAGGGGAAGCCATAATATGGAATGCTTTTGGAGCAGCAGGGTTAAAAATAAAACAGATAAAAAGTTTTCCCAAGAGGATGCACACATCACTCCAAAAAACCACCACTATTTGTGGGACCAACCCCACTCCCCCCTACTGGTGGGGATGAGCTTTCCACCTCCCCAAGAGTAAGAGCAAGATGTCTGACCCACAGTCCACTTATGGACTGAGGCAGGGATGTGGATGATGCCTTAGAACACATGTGTCAAACTCAAGGCCCATGGACTGAATCTGGCCTGCTGGGCCATTTCATGTGGGCTTCGCAGTGTTGCTTGCTACTGTGTAGTATACAATACGTAGGCACTTACTCGGTCACCCATAATGCTCCGCAAGGATGATGGGAATCCGCCCAGCGGGACTTCTAATCCCAACATTCCAAGCAGTGAAGAGTCAGAAAGTGCGGCCGCTTGGGCAGTGTACAGCACCTTGGAAAATGTTCTTACAGTTTCTGGCGAGGACTGTTTGATGGCGTTGCCTAGCAAAGGCCATCTCCACCTCCTCTCTCGCATTGGCTACAGAAGTGAGTGAGGAGCCAGGTGATGCTGAGGGCCGTGGCAAGCACGAGGGAAAGGTGGGAGACTTCCATGAATATTTAACAAAACAAACAAACATGTGTGGGGCTGTGGAGCAGGTGTCAACGGGTGTTACTAAAACTCATTTTTCAGTAAATTGCACAATAGTTGAATATCTGCTTGCCATTATTTCTAGATTTTGATCGTAGACGTTTTACTTTCAGAGCTAGTTATTACTTATGTTATTATGTTATTACTAAAACCAGTAATAATAATCAGTAATAATCAGTAATAAAAACCAGTAATAATCAAATGAGGAGAATTATATTTAATATGATAAAGATTAAATACATTTATATTACAGATACAACCAGCCCTATGAGGGCAACCATAAAGATAAATCATATAGGGGGATATGCTGAAACACTGGTGACTGCTGTTGTTAAAGCAGTATCATTTTAAAATGTTTTCAGGATTCAGTATTTTAACTAGATAGCATTATTTCTCCCCAGTTTTCATTGTTTTGATCTCCTACTATGAAGGTCAGTTGGACAGTCCCTTTTGCAAATAAGGATTCTATTTTTGATAATTAAAGAATTCCTGCTCCTGTCCTACAGCTTATTCAACTCACATGTAATCAGTGTTCTTGCACGCGGGCTGTGCTAGCCCCAGGATGGAAGCAGGAACGCTTTAATTACTAAAAAGCTTTTCCTGTTGGTGATGTGCCCTTAATTTAAGACATAATTACAAAACAGGATTTTGATCATATTCTGCAAACTTTTTGACAGTTGCATAATTTATGATGACCTTAATTTTCGGTCTCTGACAAATTCCTTCATGCTTAATTGGAACTTAGTGTTTGGCTACTCGTGTCACTCTGGATTCACTGTTGGGGAGTGATACAGCTACACTGGCATTATTGCAATTGGTGGGCACCATTTTAATGTCTTTACATTTGTCATGACAAATGTCTAGGATAGTTCAGATATTCAACAGGTAGTGATAAATTAGACACTAATTAAATGCAGAGAAATAAAGTGATGCAAAAGAATTTGACCTCTGAAAATTTAAACGCAAATAATTCTTGAATAAAGAAGAGCATTTTGTGATGTAAAACCTTACTAACCTATGAATATAGCTAGCCTAATAAAAAGGTATTATTATGAATAATTCTGGATATCTTTTTTAAAACTGGTTTTTATTTTCTTTCTGCAACACTTGCCAGATCTTAGCTTGAAAATAGATCTTGTTATTTTTAGAAACTGTGCATATTTGCCACTGCTGTTATTCCCATGCCTTAAATTTTACATTGCCTGCATTAATATGTATTCTTTTATAACAGTTTACAACACTTTGTTTGCTGCATTTCCTTACATCTACAAGAAACCGATGTTTTTCAGATAGCTATCTTAATGACTCCATGTTTTTAATGGGGAAGTTACATGAAATTCGGGGGGGGGGGGCAACCAAGTGTCAACTCTATCCCTGGAACACTTTAAATATCAATATCTATGACAGAATCAGGACAGCTTTATATATATATATGATATTAAAAGTACGTATAATATTAAAAGATCCGTATGACTCATTTTAAAATTATTTTCAAAAACAAATCAGATGGCAATATCTTATAGGAGATTTCTTTCTTTCTTTCTTTCTTTCTTTCTTTCTTTCTTTCTTTCTTTCTCTCTCTCAAATTATTGCCTCAAAATACGTATGTTAGTACTTGACATAGCAAAGTCTGGGTAAACTCTGAGAGGTGTTACAGGTACTTATGAAACTAGTCAGTCTTCCTGCCTTTGACATGCATCATGGGCATATACCAGTGGCAAAATATTTCCACATTATCCATCTTTTTGGCTGGCACTGGAAAGATCTCTAAATGCATACTGATGTACAAATGTAAAAAATCTGCCTCCCAACACATATTAATATAATTGAAATCTCCCAGTACTATACATTAAATCTCCCAATACAATACATTATGTCATTTTGGATTTCTTGAAATTTGATTTTCAAAGTTTTTATCCGCCTCTTCTCCTTGATTGAGTGGTCAGTAGTAGACTCCAACTACCATATTCCTTTTGTTTTTCTCCCCAACAATATTAACCCAGATGCTCTTGAAGGGACAATCAAGCTCATCCTCCTATATTTCTGTGCAAGAATATGTATTTTGGACATATAATGTGACTCCACCACACTTTCTACAATCTCTGTTCTTTTTGAACAATTTTTATCCTTTGATTGCTATATTATGAGAGTCATCTCACTAAGTTTCAGTTATCCCTATCAAGTCATATTTTGCCTCCTGGACTAAGATTTCCAGTTCTTCTTGTTTGTTTCCAAACATGGCATTCATATATAGACCGGAGATTATGTGATTTGTGGTCTACTTTCCTTCATACATTTTAATGAAGGTTATTTTTGGGGGCCCTTAGAGTTGCTTGTTCTGTTCCTGTTATTGTGCATAAGCTTCCATCTCCCTCCCCCATCCAATTCAGTTTAAAGCTCTCTTGATGATGTTCTTTAATGTGAACATATATTGTTATTTCTCTATAAGAAGTTCTATATGTAGAACAAAGCCTTGTCTTGGAATATGCTCCCCTTTACTGTGCTCCATTATATTTTTCTAGAAGACAGAATTTTACATGGGATAGAAAATAATGGATTAGGTTCCAGTGTGTTTTTACTTTCCTATGCTGGGTCTTGGTTTCTGGCAGCATCTTAAAGAGACCCTTGTAGAGATGAGATTTCTTCAAGTATCTAACTAAGGAAGCTGATAAGATGAATTCTTCACAGGAAGGTAAAATTGTTTTTGTGGAAGAAAGATTTTCACAAATATTTTGTCAATGTCTACTCACGTTAATATGGAGTTCAAACAGAATAAATATTAGAATTAAAGAGTCATAGAATAATAGACTTAGAAGGGCCCAACCCTCTCAACACAGGAATCAAAATCAAAACAGATCATATGGTTGTTCAATTTTCTCTTAAATGCCTCCAGCATTGGAGATGTTTTTCCAGATATTCAGCCTAAGTTGCTTCCTGCAACTTAAGAAATGGATGACAGTGGGAGTTCAAAGTTCAAAAGCATATTGTGTGTGGAGCAACATGTTATTTTCTGATACACTGTCATGTTCTGGAGAGGTTGGGAGGTGATGAAAGGAAATAATAACTTAGTATAGATATTCTCTTGTTCTGCCTTAGAATAAGGCATTTCTGGCAAAACTGCAAAATAACGTTCAGCTTTTAATATTAACCAAGCTTAATAGTGGAACTAGTATGACAAGCATGAGTAAGGCTGAACTTACGCTAGCCGTGCACCACAATTTTCTCCTTCAATATCACCTCCAGTTACATTGTCAGTGTTCACCGATTCTGTCTCACTAGTAGGCATGCTCACTGCAAAGATAAGAGGGAAGAAAAGAAGAAATGTTTAGTAACTAGCCTGCAATGTACATAAAAGAGCAATTACTGACAGTGGAAGTGCTGGCTCAGCAAAAGAGAGATGGGTTAATTATGACAAAGGAATATGACCTAGTTGATGGAGGCAAATGTCTTTTGTCTGCATGATCTAGGTACAAATTTCAGCTGAAGCATGGAATCCCCAGGGAAATGGTTGGNTAATATAATAATAACCTGTCTCTAATGAATAACACAGCTATACATTTTCTGGCATCAGGGCATCTGAAGAACTCTTGCTCTAATCTACTGTTACATATTTTTATTGGAGGCCTGCTTCCCAACTTGTTTACAAGAACAAAGATTTTAGTGGGTTGTAATATGATCGACTGATCCTACTGTTGCTTTAACTGACTGATGGATGTGGTAATAATAACCTGTCTCTAATGAATAACACAGCTATACATTTTCTGGCATCAGGGCATCTGAAGAACTCTTGCTCTAATCTACTGTTACATATTTTTATTGGAGGCCTGCTTCCCAACTTGTTTACAAGAACAAAGATTTTAGTGGGTTGTAATATGATCGACTGATCCTACTGTTGCTTTAACTGACTGATGGATGTGGTCTGTTATAATCTCTTTGCAACGTTCTGCTCTTTGATACTAAAAAAGAATTAGGAGGACAAGTAAGTTAAGGGAAGGTTTGCATCATATGAGCCCCACAACTGATATTTCTCAATCCATGAAAGATCTTTTGTTTCTTCAAACAAAATAGAAGAGCCAGACCTTTAATATTAATTATTTTTGACAGGCACAGGGATCTAGGGATGCAGTTTAATCACTAGAACCTTGGGTAACCTGAGTGTTCTTGTACTGCAACTTCCAGAAACCCGAGAACACAGTTGGTGGTGAAGGTTTCTGAGAACAGCAGTCCAAGAACACCTGGATTACCAAAGACTGGGAACCTTAAGCGCCTTCTCGGTGATTAAGATCAGCAGAGGAGGCCCTCCCTTGGGTTGCATTGCTAGCAATGTGGTAGCACTACAAGCACAGCTGATGGGGACACAGGAGATTGCCTTCTCTGTGGTAGCACTCGGGCTATGGAATGCTCTCCCTCGGGAGATCAGGATGGCCCCTTCCCTTTTATCCTTCTGAAAAAAGCTAAAGACCCATCTCTTCAAGCAGGCTTTTAACAATTACAACTGAATCCCCGAACCCCATTTTAGCAGATAATTTTAATCTTTTCCATGTTCCCAATTTTTATTCTTTTAATTTGAATTTAAATCATATATTGTTTAATTTGTCTTTTAATATTTAACTCATTGTGTTTTAATCGTGTGAATTTTAATGCTGTGAGCCGCCTTGGGTCCCTCTGTTGGGAGAAAGTTGGCATACAAATAAAACTAATAATACTACTAATAATAACCAGACTAATAATAATAACCACTGCATTAGAAGATTCCCACCTTTTCAGGATTTGTCTTCCCATCATTTCCCTCTGCTATTTTCTCATATATGAATCACTAGGCATAGGCAATATTTTCTTTGACCTAGATGTGGATGAGGAAACCTCTGTGCATGTTTTACCTTGTACTGTGTGAATCAGTACATATAAAAATATTACTGGCCACTCAGCCTTTGCACAATTCAAAATATAGGCCATATAAACCATATTAAAAATGAATTGCTGACTGAGGTTCTATCAAAACATCAGTGTTATAGATTGCAAACATGGTATATTTGTTTATTATTGTTATAACTTATATCTAACCCCCATAGTTGTCATAGTTCTAATTGTGTATGCATTCTACAACAAATATGACTCTGTAGGGCTAAAATGTCCAAGAGTTAAGATAAGGGTTACTGCAAGCCATATCATGGTCCTGCTGTGCTTTTAAAACACATACGTACTGTACCTTGTCCTTCCAGCATCAGGAAAAAACATTTCTTTTTAAACAGGCTTCTAACAATCATTTTCGGTGCAAATTTCCAAGATGGCAGTTATGATTTTTAACTGTGTTTTTAAAGGTTGTTATAGTGTTTCAATTATCCATTTTTGTATTCTCCTATGTTAAATTGCTTTTAAATTGTACATTTATTCTCCTTTTGGCTTTATTTGTATTTTAATTATTGGGAACTGCCTTGAGTCTATTTCTGGGAGTAAGGTGGCTTAGAAATAAAAGAACCAAGCACATAAATAAACAAATAAAAAAAACAAAGAAAGAAATATGCCAATGTAAATACTGATAGTTAAGAAATCAAATCCAACTGCTGGATTGTGCCTGAAGAATGAAAAATCTTACCCATTAATCTCTTTCTTCAAATAGTTTAAAATATTAGACAAAGGCCAGTCAAATACAAAAATAGGGAGTAGATAGATGAATGACAATTTAGGTGCACTGGCCAATCTGAGTTTTTGTGCTGTACTATGCTACGGGTCAGTGGAGGTACCATATTTGAATAGGAGGAAAAAGGCACATGTAGTATCACTGAGCCAAATATCTCCCATCTTGTAAATATACATGAGTATTTTACCCCTTGGTGCAAAACTTTGCAGCTATCCCTGATAAATTTCTTTCTGTTACTTTCAGTCCAGTGCTCGAGCCTATCAAGAATTTTTTGAATTTTGTTTGCTATCAAGAATCAAATCCAGTTTCTTCCTCTACTTTGCACAGGGGAAAATTATCAGCCATACAAGCCAGGAATTTCTTGGAAGGTCATGTGTGAAGAGATTGAGGATTTGAGAAAATATGACATATGGAATCTAATACTTTCACCTGTGTTTGATCTAATGCATATACCGGAAATGGAAGGACAAATGGAAAAGTCAGTGTGTGAAGAGAAACTTTGCACTTGCCTTCCTTTCCAAAACACTTTTTAAAAGTAGTTGGCATTCTTATGTTATTCTTTATCAAAGAATGCTTCAAAGTACTCTTTCTCATGTTTATTGGGCACCTTGAAGTAGTTCTCTTCAGTGCGTCAGGGGAGATAAATGCTGGACTGTGGGAAAGAAATCTATTGAGGAAAAGAGAGGTTACTTACCGGTAACCGTGGCTCTTCGAGTGGTACTCTGTGAATCCACATGAATGGGTTAAACTGCACCTGCGCAGGACTGTTCAGAATATTCTAGAGCTTAAATAATGACCAATTAAATGTCTTCCTGTGTCACGCATGCTCCGCCCGCCCACGGTACCTCAGTTCCAAATATCCGCCGCTGTAATGTAATGCCTATGAAATTTAAATGCCAAAAATAGTCATGACGGATAGCGGGGAGGATGGGTGGATTCACAGAATACCACTTGAAGAACCACAGTTACAGGTAAGTAACCTTTCCTTCTTCTTTGTGATCTCTGTGAATGCACACAAATGGGTGACTAGCAAGCTCACTTACTGGAAGGAGGGCCATCATGGCAGAACCAAAGTCAGCAGAGTCCTTCCAAAACTTGCTTCTTTTTTAGCTTTGACATCCAGTCTATAAGGCGTAGGAAAGGTCAGTGGTGTAGACCAAGCCGCTGAACGACAGATGTCAGAGAATTTAATGCCACACAGCCATGCCAAAACTTGCTTCTTTTTTAGCTTTGACATATAAGGCGTAGGAAAGGACAATGGTGTAGACCAAGTCGCTGAATGACAGATGTCAGAGAGTTTAATGCCACGCAGCCATGTGGTGGAAGTAGCCATGGCTCTGGTGGAATGCGCTTTGAGCACCTCTGTTGGAGTCTTGCTAACCAGGTCATAGGCTAAAGTGATGGGAGAAACCACCCATCTTGAAATTGATTGGGAAGAAGCTGGATGACCTTTCCGAGGCCCATGAAAGCAGACGAACAGTCTGGAAGATTTGCGGAAGTCCTTTGTTCTTGAGACATAAATGGCTAAAGCCCGATGAACATTGAGGCAATGGAGCTTGCACTCAACATCTGATGAAGGGTTGGGAAACAATGTTGGGAGAATCAAGGGCTGATTAACATGAAATTCCGAGATCACCTTGGGGAAGAATGAAACATCCGGATATAAAACAACTTTTTCTGGGTAGAATTGCAAATAAGGCTCATCAGCCCGCAGTGCAGCCAATTCACTTGCCCTTCATGCAGATGTGATGGCCAGGGTTGGGGCAGCTGTAGGGATGGAAGTTTCCATCTCAGTCAGGCCCAAAGGTGTCAACAGCTTTTCTCAGTGATAGGAATGCAGTCGTTGTAACCGAAGCTTTAAGGCCGGCTTGGTAAGCTTCTTGGACTCCTGGCAAGAACTAGGGTGATGTCTCTCCCTTAAACAAAACAAATAACGGTCGTGGCCATCCATGAAAGGGATTTTATTAGCACACAACACACACTTGGGAACCCAAGAACGATACCAACAAGGGACAAACAGAAGACAATAATGATAGAACTCCTGATCAAGCCGAGATATCAATCCAATAGAAAATCAAGTAAGTCCAAATTGAAATCCAAAACCAGAACGATAATCAGTCCAAGGGTCAAGCCGAATAATCAGAGAAGTAAAACCAGGATAATAGTGAAATCAAAGGTCAAAACAGTCTGAGTCAATAAGCCAGATGATAATCATAGAAAACAGTCTGAGGTCAAACCAAAGATTTTTTAATGAAGAATAAGCTCTAAGTGATACAAAGCAGTCTGATTGCAGTGGTGGCAAAAAGGAACTGAGGTACTGCAGGCAGGCGGAACATGCGCGACACAGGAAGACTTTTAATTGGTCATTATTTAAGCTCTAGAATATTCCAAATAGTCCTGCACAGGCGCAGTTTAAACCATTTGTGTGCATTCACAGAGACCACGAAGAACTGTCCATTCTCCCAATAAAAGATGAAAGAAGATTACAAGGGATTGTTAAGTGTTAGTTACAACAAACCACTCAAAATGGTTCATTATCTTGTATAAAGAGAAGTCAGCAGCATTAGTTTCTTTTGAGTCTGAGCATCTTCTCCAGGGAAGGAACTTCACCTCCCTGTGGCTCACAAGTAGACCACATCCATGATAGCCT